GCCGTTCCCCGGCCAGGGCTCGTCCGACGGCCGCCTACTGCCTCCCCAGCCGCCTGTGCCCCCCCCGGCTCGGCGCCCGCGAGCGGCGCCTGCTCGCTCCCCGACACCCGAGCCTCCCGCGCCGGCCCGCTCCCCGACGCCGGTGGCCCGTGCTGCTCCTCGTCGCCGCCGGCATCGTGGTAACCGAGGTGGAGTTCAGGAACGGCTACGCCGCGTTGCCCGAGCACAAGAAGCGGCGGCGGCGGTGGTGGCCCCCCTGCCTCGCGCGGCTCCGCCTGCGGCCGACCTTTTTGGTCTGGCCCCGCAGCCCAGCCCCTTCCGCGCCTGGACCCACGGCCTACAGCCGCGTGCGCCTGCCCCGGCTGCACGTGACGAACTTCCAGCCCGCGCGTCCACTGCTGCCCAGGTCTCTGCCTCCCCTTTCTTCTTGCAGCCGGTGCCTCAAAGCCTCCCGCCGTGGCTCCACAGACTCCGCCGCGACCCGCCCAGGAACGCGCGCCCGTGACTGCAGCGGCCCCCGCCTTACAGCCACTGCTACGTGGTAATCCCCGCCGCGGCGCCTTCCAGGCCAGGCCGCCGGCGCACATTTGCCCTGCCCCACACCCTATACCCTCGCTTTTCTCAGGTCCCGCCAAGTGCCGCGGCCTCAGCCTGCTTGTCGAGTTCCCGTGTGTTGCATCGTTCGCTGGTCTCAGCCTTGATTTTTCCCACCATCCCGCGCCGCGGCGCCTACAGGCAGGCCGCAGGCGCGTCCTGGTGCAACCACCCCGTCGGTAGGATTGCGTGCTGCCAGGTGAGCCTCCTCCGCTACAACCTTCGTGAGCAGTGCAATCCTGTTGGCGTAGTTCTCCTCACACCTGGCAGTCGCCAGCTGATAGAGAAAAGTTTTGCGGAGTTTGTGGGTTAGCATTTTAAGATGTCACGGGCATCACGCTCAGCCACGCCGGAGCGCGCCTCACAGGCCCCGCGCTCCCCGTTGTCCGTATCCTCCGCGCCGACCCCGGCGCGCCCCAGCCACCACGGAGACCGCACGCCGCCCAACCCTACCAGTGCGGAAACCGAATGCTGCTGCGTGTGCCTGGAGCGCCTGCTGCCGGCTGCTCCGGCGGACCAGCTCCCCGTCCCCTTCCCTACCTGTCGCCGCCACCGTATGCACTTGGGCTGCCTTGCGCAGTATCGTGCGCAAGCGGCAAGTCCCGGTGATCTCCTGTGCCCCCTATGTCGGCATGGTCGCTGCCCTGATTGCAGGCCTGCCGCCTGGTCCGGGGCAGATGATGCGGCACTCCGCTCCCTCTGCCAGTTCCACGGTGCCCCCTTCCCCGAACGCAGCGCCGGCGAATCCACGGTACGCGCGGCAATCCGCGACTACGCGCTCCGCACATTCACCTCCAATGATGCGCCGGAGCCTCGTCCACCGCCAGGGGTTACCCTCCTGTGCTGCCATCGCGTCGCCGCCGTTAACGGCACAGCCGGAGTCGAATTCGTTCCTCTCCCGGATCGCGAAATGCAGTGGGCGCCAGTCCCGATCCGACACAGCGCTGGCATTGCAGCCTGGCGCCCCAGTTGGGTCTGCCCCGGCTGTGCCGAGGACGTGCACCTCGACTCCCTCGCAATCCCTGCCGAAGCCGGTAACCCGTGCAATCGCTGCGGGGCCCAGTTGCGGTGGACGCTTGACCGCGTAGCCGGGTCCGCGGGCTGGAGCTGCGCTGGCGGGTGCGCTCACCCGGCTGCGGACGCAATCACGAGCGCTCCAGCCCCTCCAGCCGCACCCCACCCACCCGCTCAGCGCACCTCGCCACCCCGCCTCCCCGCGTGGTCCACATGCGGCCCTCCTCGGGATTGCAGTGCTCTGGCCACCAACTCGTGGCTGTATGTGCCGCTTCTGCATGCGGCCGCCGGCGAAATGGGGCCTGAAGGGCTGCAACGCTGGCGCTCGGACCCGCGCGCCAGTTGGTGGGAGGACGCGCGCCACACGCTCGCAGCGTCCCGCCCAGTTTCCGTCACAACCCTCACTGAGGCGCTCCTCACTGCCACCAATGCCGCAGGCGAGCCGCCGCC